GTCTGAACTAACTCGGCCCGCCCGACAGCAGCGTCAAAACAAAATTTTTGCCATCGCATTCGTTGTTTCGATCGTTAACCTTGCTGTTTGGAATTTTGACGTAGACTTTGGTGTCTGGTCGGCGGTAAGGCAAAGGGCCGACCCTCGTTTGTGCCGTCACCGTCTACCTCTCGGGGGTGGAAGGAGGTCAAAATGTTAGTTTCTACGTAAACGGCTGGTTACGTTGGTACAACCACAAGGAACGAGCCTTTAGAAAACCTTTATGTCTAAACCTATGACCGGACAACCTCCGTAGACCCCAGAAACATACCTGTCACCTGACATCGGATGAACTGACGATAAATTCCTCCAAAGAACGAACACTCTGTGTACACACGAGTATAAATAAAATATATGTATATAACAAAACAACACACACTAAATTATGTAAAAAAATTAAATAAACAACAATAAATAATATATATTTAAAATATATAAACTTTAATAAAGTGTAAAGTAAATATTACAACCTACAAGTTATTTTTCAAGACAAACTTTCCTACATCGAACTTAATAATAATAATAATGTAATACAAGTCACCAGATTTTACAGAATGTTGCCACGGGTGTTATAATAACAAATAGCGTATTTAAAGGCCCTTTTACATAAGAGCAGGTTGTTTACTTAATAGCATGTCCGAATCCATGGTGATCATTTAACAGTTGCCCCCCCCCCCCGTGTAGGGCTCGCATGTTGCTACCGTCAGGGCGGTCACTGCCAGTTACACCATACTAAAGGTAGATAACATGTAACAATAATGTGAAAATAATGATCTTATTGGTTTGTTTCCACCTGCGGTTACCTTATTTGGAATAGTCGCTTGAATCATGAAAATAAAGGCTTACTACTCTATGTATCCAAGAACAAGTTAAATTCTGTAATTTTAATCTTTATATACGATACAAAGAAAAGTGTGATTCCTCCCAAAAATTTTTAATTTATACAGGTGTATACATAATGTGTCTAACACACTTGCGGGTCGGAGGTCGGCGTCCTTAGGACATAAACTCGGGTACAAATCTTCGCTAGTAGTCGTCGGGAAACAAACAGCAAAAGTGGGTGCTTCAAATAAGGAATAGATCTCCAGGGTAACGACAGTATTTCGTCTTCTCGCCCCTCTTAGTAACGTCCCGTCCCGCCAGGTAGATAGTGGTCCCGTGTCCGAGGTTTGGACCGATGGTGCCTCGATCTTAATTTCGTTGTTATCTGTAGACGAGTAATGTTTTGTATATGGAAATAAAGTTCACCTGTTATTGGCGTGTTAGATCGCACGGTGATTAAATCTGAATTGTTTCCTCGTCCGATATTAGTGAGATTTTTACCTAATACATTATTCTTTGTAGTACGAACGTCCCTTTTTATAGAAAGGACGTTGTACGATAAAAAGAACAAAGAACGTCGTGCATCGTCGTACTGGTGGGAGGGAGAAGATCATAACTAAATGGTGCATGTCTCTATAACCTTTAGTAATTATAAGGCCGGATACACCATTAGTCCACATTTTTTTTAAAAAGACGTTTGTCCGAGTCACCTCGCCAGTCTGTACACTCCTCGAAGGTAGTATCAGAAGCTGTCTTAATTAATTATGACCCGGTATTAAAATTACAACTATTCAATCTCAAAATTCAGCTAAAGACCACGT